TTACAACTGCCTGCGAGCATGTTGGAGGTGCAAGATATCTGAGCGTGTAATGTTAATTTTACCTGTGATTCTTTGAATAAATCAGCACTGTTTTGAAGATACTTGGACTGCCTCATCTCTCAGAGTTAGCATGGTAGCAAGAACTGGGTCCTACAGGGAGTTTTTCCTCCCCACTGTCGCCAAGTGCTTGCTCAAGGGGGATTTGCTGGGTTTTCCCTATGTAATAATATTGATCATAGTAAGGTCTAGACCTTACTTTGTAAAGTGTCCTGAGATGACTTTTGTTTTGATTTGGCACTATACAAATAAAATTTGATTTGATTTGATTTAAAGTGATCCCTAAATGCAGTGTGTTAGAAATTAACCCAATTCTTTTGTTGGAAGCACGAGAAGTGAGGACAGGAGAGGACTGTTTAAAATCAACAGGAAGTTTACTGAAAGTCTGAGCACAGATGAAGTCTTACAGCACTGGATTCAGAGAAACAGAGCTCCTGCAGGAAAACCGGCTTCTGAATCCTGAATTAAGTTTTTACAACACATTTATCTTCTTGGGCTGCTCCGCCCTGACCAGGGGTGCAACCTTCAATAGTTTTTGATCCTATTGGCCATTTGGTGTGAGCCGAAGCTCGCACTTCTATGTTGGAATGTGGTAAATCTAGGTGTGTGTGTGTGTCTCATGTGGCCGCTTGATCTTGATCAATGGATCCCGAACAATGGGCGGCCTGAGTTTCAGGCCCCCGGTGTGTGTGATGCTAATAGGCATGCTTAACTGGCCAAGTGGTCATCTCAGGTTGTAGTACCTGGCCTCTGCAGGACATCTCAAGACAAAGCCGAACTTGGAACACGCCAAGCGGGTCTAGGTGTCAGTACAAAACAGCCCATTCTGTCTCTGTTAAAATGTAAATAGGCTGTCTGGTCACTTAGGAGATGCAGACATCTCATCTCGACAGAAGTTGAAGCGGACAGTTTCTACCTCAGTATCACTTGATTCTCATCAATACAATTGTAAGATATATAAGCAAGGAAATTAAATACATTGAGAATAACCAATGATTAGTAGTTCTGGACAATCATCAATACAGCTGTAATACGTATAGACAAGGAGAATGAGGTCATGACAAATACCTAAAGGGAACCAAAGGTATGAGAAGTAACTAGTAACTAAAGCTTATAAAGTAACTAGAGCCTATGAGAATTAAATCTTACACATGGTTCACTTAGATTAGAATCAGGAAAGTCTCTTTTCAAACCCAATCGTCCAGTTCATAGTGATTTTCTTCTTATTTGTCCTCATCACGAATCTGTTGGTACATTGTCAAAAGCAGCCACACACGACCAGCAGGACTGCAGCTACGGACAGAGAGATCAACCCGGAAGCGCTCAGGCCACTCCACTTTCCAAAACAGGATTCCAGGAGGCTGGCGAAGGGGTTGTTGATGCCAGAATTCACAGTCAGCTCCTTGGATAGGGCTGTCAGTCCTTCAAGGGTCTTGGTGATGCTGCCATCTGGGGAAGTGTTATTAGGTATAAATTACAACAAAATGTGCCAAACATCTTACATACTCCTCCACTGTTGGCTAACAACATATCTAGGGTCATCCTATTTTTCCATGACATGAGAGAAGTTGAGCCTAGTTGTTCTGCTATGCCTCTTGCATCTCTGGTATAATTCACAAAACACTGTTGGTTATAGTACAAGTAGTTAATCCAATCCACATTTTTATTTACTGTAACCCACCAGAAAAGAAAAGATTTGAACCCTGCAGCTATCTGATTTCTAGCTTTGAACTCATCAGGTACTCCTCGGGGCACGCCAATTGCATCTAGGTACACTCTGTTGTCGAATGATCCTCTAGGCCCGCCTGTGGTTCTGGTTCTGCGATGTAGGTGGGATGCAGATAACAGTTTTCTCCCCAGCTCCTTGTATTCTCTTGATGAGAATATGTGAAACGGCATCAGCAGCAGCAGGCGGGCACAGCTGACTCGCCA